AATGGAAACCCAAAATCTCTGTAAATATTCATTAAAATTAATAAAATTTAATAAAAAAATGGAAAAAAAAGAACTGATGCCTTTGTACTGTGGTGCTGGAGAAGAGCACTGACTATTCCATGGATTGCCAGACAACAAACAGATGTATCTTAGAGAAAGTGCAGCCAGAGTGCTTCTTGGAGGCAAAGATGATGAAGTATGTCTGACATACTTTGAGCATACTGCTGGAAGAGCTTATTCCTTGGAGAAGGACATCATGGTTTAAAAGGTGGAGGGAGGGCGAAGGAGAGGAAGACCCTCAAGCAGGTGGATTAACATAGTGACTGCTGTAATGGGCTCAAGAGTGTTGGAGATAGTGAGGATGTCACAGGACAGGACAGGGTTCAGATCTATTATTCATAGGGTTACTATGAGTCGTACTCAACTCAATTGCACCTAACAACTGGAAGCAGCACAGAAAAGCTCTGGTGGTTTAATGGTAAGAACTTGTGCTGTCAACACAAAGGTATGGGGTTCAAATCCACCAGCTGCACCACGGGAAAAACATGGGAATCTCCCATCTGAAAACCTAATAGAGGGTCCACTATAAGTCATTTCCAACTCAATTGTCTTCAATGACGATGAGAGGAAGCAAAAAAGAACAATTCTCCAGAAAAAAAAAAACAAACAACAAAACCAGCAAACATGTCAGCTAATCCTTTAGTTACAGCGCATAAAAATAAGTATGGCAACTTCCTTTCAATATAATGTGATCAGCCAGTGCATTCAGACATACAGTGTGTGGAATACATAGCCCCTTTGGAGGATAGCTGTTGAAAAGAATTCTAAAAGGCAAAGTCGGAAAGAAAGGAAAGAAACTCATCGCTGTCAAGCTGATTCCAACTCATGGTGTGTGATCCTGTCGGCAGAGAAGAACTGCCCCACGGGGCTTCCAGGGATGTCCACCTTTATGGAAGTCACATCTTCCTCCAAGGGAGCAGCTAGTAGAATGGAAATACTCATCTTTCAGTCAGGAGCCGAGCTCTTAACTGAGCCAATATCAGCTGCAGCTCAAAATAAGAATCTTGTGTACTAAAATACTTAGCAAAATTTTAGCCACGTTGAAATGTTAACGTTAGAATTGAGAGTAAAACAGGATACATGTGAAAGTAGGCAAAAAAAATCCAGGGTCGCGGCATGCTTTCTTTGAGTTCCAGCAAAAAAAGGAAAATGTTCTCTTCATTCGTTCACCAACTTGTAGATTCCCCGCAAGCCTTAAATGTTTCAGACTACAGCTATGCTTCTCTCCAAAGCTCTTGCTTCACAATTTCTTTGAACTCTTCTCATTCCAGAGAAAGCTACACTCATCAGAGTTTTAATACCTGCTGAACTCCAAAGCTAAGCCTGCCAGGGACTTGTTTCTGAGTCATAGCAATGCTTAGGACAGAGTGGAGCTGCCCCAGAAGGCTTCCAGGGCTGTAAATCTTTATAATAGCAGGCTGTATACATTTCTCCCAGTAGAGCAACTGTGGGACTCAAGCTGATCATATTTTGTTTAGCAGTTAAGCACTTTAACCACTTCTCAACCAGGGATCCTGAATACCTGTTACTAATGCTCAGGGTTCAGGGAACAATAATGAGCTCAGAGAAAGACAGGAAACAGGATCACAGCAGGAGCAGAAGGATCAGTCAACCAAGGATTACCTAATAAAGTTTTCACAATTATAATTTTTTTAAAAAGCATCTATTGCCTTTTAACGAGCTAAATGTACTTCATCCAAAGAGCTGTCTATTATGATGAAACCATGTGCTTACTCCAGAGCAATAAACATATTACCTGTCTTATATGAAATAATGGTAATAGTAATTGGCAGCTGATTGCATTTGAGGGCCTTTAGTAGGCAAAATATGAATGAGTATCCTATGTTCCTGTCCCCTTCCCCGCACTTGAAATTGTACTGGTATATGAGATCCACAAGTCGAGGGACTACTAGCTAAATCTAACTCTACCATCACCAACACCACTGTTTGCTCTTCTCTCCAACAGGAAAAATTCTTGCCCTCCAGTGCTATGCAAGAACGAGCTTATACAGCATCCCTGCATCACCTTGGGTTAGGGCCGATTTAGACTGACCATGCTCACTCTGAGCCAAAAATCTGCCTTTCTCTAGGTTTCACCCATTCTTTGGAGGCGATATTGGGAAAAAAAATATATTCGTTTGCCCTAGGGGAGCCCTTCATATTATTTCTTATCTTCCTCTAGCCATAAAACCAAAACCATATGCTATATAATATCCAGTGACTACAGCTGGAATTTGTACTCACCTGGGGGAGAAACACATCAAACTATTGAATCATTATGCTATCAGCTAAAACCCCCAGGTCTGCTAGGAGAACAAACAGGTTCTTCCTGGAGAGGATGAAACCAGGCTGCTCCTGGGAGGCAAGGCTTTTGAAGCTCTCTCTCACACTCTGAACATGTTGCAAGGAGGGACCAGTCCTTGGAGAGGGACCTCAGGCTTGGGAGGGTGGAAGGACAGCACATGAGGGGAAGACCCTGAATGAGAAGGATTGACTGGGGTAATAGGGGTAGGTGTGTCAGAGACAATGAGGTTGGTTCAAGATAGAGCAAGGTTCAGGGCTGTTGTACATAAGGCCACTACGAGTAGCAAGCAACTCGATGGCACATAATAACAACTACACAAATGATATTAAACATCCCACCTATTTATTCTACTCATATGCCATGGTTTTCTAACCTTTCATTTATCCCTTATCTTAATCTGAGTCTTTAAAAAAGGGCTTGAATGAGATTGACCCTCTATTTGCTTCTCCTAATTATTTATGTAAGATCTTGGAAGTTAGACACTATGCCTCACAGTATTTTTTTTAAAAAAACTCTCTGAAGGGTTTGCACAGAAGTGGAAATACATTAAGGAAGTGGTTGGTTTTCCAATGACAACATTTGCTTGGGTATACAGCCTGTATGCTAAAGATTATGGGAGAAACCAGAAAGATAACATGTTGAACGTGACCTACACTATATAACAACACTGGGCATGCTTCTGATCTCTGGAGATCCATTGCCTACTAACCCCCTGCTCTTGCTTTTGCTGCAGAGAAATTACTTGTATAAAATGCCCCAATCTCACTAAAAAAGACTGTAACTTGTGGAAGCTAAACCCAGATATGGGTAAAAGAAAAGAAGTTCTATCAAAATGAAAATAGAAGTTCTCTCTCACTGCTATCAGGTCTGAACTGCCTCATAGTGGACCCTCCAGCAGGAGGCTGCAAATTGAATGGGAGGAGCTTGCCTATCTTTCTCTGAAAGAGCCACTGGTGGATTCAAACCACAAGAGAGGTGTCACCTTCAGACTGGCAGTGCATGTCCCTACAGACTAAGCCACTAGAGTCCCCTAAAAATACAAATTTTGGTGTGTACCATCTAATCAGAACTGACCCACAGCTCTACTGGGTTTTCAGAGGCTATAAATTGCATAGGAGATTGGATTTGAACCATGTGCCTTTGGATTGCCAGTGCAACTCTTTACCACTAAAACACCAGAGCTTCCTAAAATGGAGAGTCATTCAATGTTTTCATTCTATCAAAAGCCTATAAAAATTGTCTTCAAAATGAAGATATATTTTTCTGCACTCTGAAGATCTGAATAAGGAAAATGATAGTCTAAAAAAAAGGAGATTCTTAATATCCCAAAAGGCTAATTATATCACCTTACACTACTCCAAAGAGCTGGTCAGGAAATCCTGGGGGCCTCTCTCACTTTCTCCTGAAGAAAAGGGTAAACATTAGAGAGTCTCAGATTTAAGAGGTAACACAGCAGAGGCAAACATATGCCACAGGTATGACTACCATGTCAAAATAAAACTAACTAACTCAGAACACCTGTTTTAACACCATGACAATATTTACCATCTAACCTACCATCCCTGGACAATCAAGGAGATGGGAATGGTGGGGGAAACAAGCATGTGAAATAAAGTACTTCACTTTCAAGAGCTTAGAATCTAGTGGCAGAAATCAAAGTCATTCATTGGAGAAAAAGAGACAAATTAGTAAGGACTTGAATACTCTGAAAGGCTTATGAAGATGAGATGGGCCTTGGCAGAGGGCAAACAGAATTAATTTAGCTAAGGGAAAGGGGGTGGGGACTGAAACAGGATGACAATGACAAGAACGTGGGAACAGGCACAGCATGGGGAGGCAGGCATGAATATGGTTTGGAGAGGGAGCAGGAAGATGGTAAATTAAAGGAAACAGCGAATTCCCTTGTCTACCCTCAGTGAGATGGATTGACTCAGTTCACTAGGGTAATGGGGATAGGTGTGTCAGAGACAATAAGACTGGCAAAGGATAGAGCAGGGTTTAGGGCTGTTGTACATAGGGTCGCTATGAGTAGCAGGTGACTCGACGGCACATAACAGCAACAACAATGGAGACAGTATCAGACAATAAGTATATAAGCTGTAGCTTATGATGAAACATTTGAAATACAAGAGGAGGGGGCACACACACTGTAAGTGGCACACCAGGAAAGTGACTTGAGGAAATTGACAGTTTAGCTGGGTTAATAGGGTTGCAGCAAGCAGAGTGGATTGAACATAGGAAAGGCTGGACCAGTAGCTTTGGCTGGTGGACAGAAAAGCAGACAAGCATGCTTGCAGGCAGTGAGGTCTGAGATAACTTCTTCAATAGACATAAAGGAATTTGATGATATAGGGAATGGTAGCGAGGGAATGATTCGTGACTATTCTAAGCATCGCTAGCCTGGGAGAAATCCAAGGAATCACTAACAGAAAACTAGAAACGTCTCTGCTGTTTGTTACCTTGCCTGAACAATGAATTCTTGTTCAGTAATGGCTGTCACCCCGGTTACTTAACTGAACTGCATTTTAATAGATGCCTCCAATGCCTCAAGCTCAAAGATTAGTAGGGTAAGGTACTGAGGGGGCCATCATCTTTCCAACAGCATCCGTCACACTAATACAATGGAGGTGTTTGCTTACTCCGCTTACAATCACGGCCGCCGTTGCAAACTTCACCCTTAGAAAAATAAGGATTATTCCAGGAAAGATACCCATTCACCCTGTGGGTAGCAGGATCTTGCCAGTTCCTCAGCTGTCAGAGCGAGCTCGTGGAGAGAAAGGAGGCGCCTGAAGGAGGCGGCCTCCCAGGGGGGTCGAGAAGCAGGGTTCAATCGAAGAAGTGAAACCACCGATGTCAGGAGAGTGAAAGACAGGGAAGGGACTCAGCTGAGGGGAGAGAGAGACCAGAGGACCGTTAAGTCCCTCCCAGGCCGGGAGCCCGGCCAACCTGGCCCCTCGCGGCCCAGCCCCGCTCCCCAGCCTGCCAGTCCAGGAGTTCCCCCTCACCTGCTCGGGCTCATAGGACGACTGGGAAGCCGGGGCTCCCTCAATCGGAAACACCACCGCAACGCCAACCCGGAAGCATTGAGATCAGCGGAAGTAAGCATGGCGTCGCCCGGGCAACCTCTGTGCAGCCATCCCAACTTCACCTCCTCCGGGAGAAAAAAAAAAGCGCTAAAGGAGAGGTGGAAACGACAAGGGGCGGAGAGTAGGCCTGCTGCGGGCGCGGGTGGAGGCGCGTCTGGTTCGCGGAAGTGCAAGGATAGGGAGCTAACGGGTTTGGCTGCACCTGCAGTTGGCATGCAAGCCAGAGAAGGGCAGAGGTGTCGCATTAGAGGTTTTTGTTGGTGTGTACCTTCAAGTCGGAACCGACTCCTAGTTGACCCTCCGAAGACTGTAAATCGCAAGAGGAGGTTGCCGTCTTTCTCGTGGAGCAGGTGGTGGATTCGAACCGTATGCCAAGTGGTGGGTGCGAACCAGTGGTGGGTGTGGACTGGGTGCCTTTGAGTTAGCAGTGCAGCCCCTTAACCGCTAAACCACCAGAACTCATTTAAAGGAGAGGCATTGTGGTGGTGGGGGGAAATGTAAGAAAGGGGCAATGGGAGTGTGTGGCTTGTAGGGGGCGTGGCTATAGGACTTGGAGTAATGCAGATTGGCTAGAGGAGGTGAGGGGCGGGGCTAGAGGAATGCTAAGGGGCGTGGTTAGGCAGGGGCGTGTGGCTTGAACAAGATGAGCGGCAAGGAGTTAGACCTGTGGTGTAGTGGAGTGAGGTTTCCTGCTGGACGTGGAAAAAGGAGGGACTGGAGAATCAATGCCTTTGAATTGTGGTGTTAGAAAAGAGTTCTTAATGAAAAGAATACGGAATGCCTAAAGAACAAATAAGTCTGTCTTGGAAGAAGTACCACAGTTGTACTTCATAGAGACAAGGTTGATGAAACCTTGTTTCCCAGGCTTTGGGTGTATTGTTTGGAGAATCCAGCCTTGGAAAAAAACATAATGCTGTGAAACGTAACTGGTCAGAGAAAGAGAGGAAGATGCTCAGTACGATGTGTTGACAGAGTGATTATAACAGTGTGTGGGCTCCAGCATATCAATGGTAAGGTTGGTGCCAAATAAGGCAAGGTTCAGATCTGTTGTTCAAAGATTCCCTATGAATGTCTTTGACTCAGTAATACCTAACAAGAGTTTTACTCTATAAAACAGGTCCTGCTATTTCCCCCTTTTGACAGATGAGGAAACTGAGGCCCTAAGAAATTGAGGTTGTGATTCAAGCACAGTTATGACTTCAGAGCCTAGGTTCTTAATTACTATGCTGTGGTGCTTTTCAAGGGAGTTCTGGGGGAGTTTTAGGGAGCCTGCTACCCTGCTAACAAAAAGGTCTCCAGCAGGTTAAATCAACCAGCAGCTCTGAAGGAAACCATGGGCAGTTTCTTTCCATTATCATTTTCATTATTATCATTACAGCCCCAGAAATCTGATGAGTGCGTCCCAGTGAGTTAGAATCCACTCAATGACGGTGAGATTGGTTGTAGTCCATTTCTACTTCATTAAATACCACCATTGTTAGCTTCAGAATCTTCCTTCCAAGAAAAAGAGACAGGAAATTCATGCAGTCATTCCAAAATGTGAATTTCCTTCCATTCACATCTCATTAAAGTCAAGCTGGAGCTCAAAGTTCTTATTGGGAAAACCTGGCTCTTTAATGATTGATATTTATGCACAACTGTGACCTATGCATGTCCCCTGAAATCTAGATTGCTCACTCTTGCAGAATCATGGCTCTCCCTTAAATAATTATCCTAACCTTTCTAAATTGAAGATTGTCCTCTGCCTCCTCTGCCATTGCTGCCCCCACCAGCTAATCTCGCTGAGCACCAAGCTAAACTTTGTTAAAAAGAACTTGTTTCTCAATGGATTTCCTTTTAAAAATCTATATTAAAGCATTAAATTAATAATAAAATAGCATTTGCCAAAAGAAACCTATAAAACATAACATACGTTTGACACATTTACAATATGACTGCTTCATTCTCAACACTTTGCAAAACAACATACAAAAAGCCTGTCTTTCACTATCAACAGGTCATCTTCCTTTGCGACCCCCATGTTTGTGGTCTCTATGCTACACATTCAATATTTGCTTTTGCTATCTTGTGCCATGCCTGAATTCTGCTATCCCTAAATGTTTAACTCTTTGAGAGTCATGGAATCTTCTGGTTAGGACATTCTGAAAGGGCAGAGGCTAATCCAAATGAACATATTCCTTCTATAATATTAAAGATAAATTGATATGCTGTGCCTGCTTGAATATTTCCACTGTAAATGTTAATCTCGAGTCAGCCCATTCCATTCTTGATTAGCTCCTAGAAAGTTCTCATTTATGTATTTTTAGAGATTTATAAATACACACACTTCTTTTTTTCCCCACACACACTTCTATAGAGAGCTCTAATGATCTAATTTTACAAATTACTAAATACACACACATACACAGACTTCTATAGGGAGCTCTGGGAGGGAGTTGCACTGGTAATACAAAGGTGGTGCCTCTCTGCTAAGTCAAATACACCAGCAACTCTATAAGAGAAATATGGGAGGTCTGTTCCTGTGCAATACTCAGCCTCATAAGCCTCCTGGAGGGTCAACTATGAGTTGGTTCCAACTTGATACCAATGAGTTGAGTTGATATGTATATGAAAAGACATGTAGCAACAGAATTCGAAGAAGACTCACCAGCAATCTGCATTATTTTGCTGGCATAATCCTGCTTGCAGAAAGTGATCAAAGATGGTCAAAGACTACAGTCTTTAATATGGATTACATCTCAACATCAAGAAGATCAAATTCCTCACCACCAAACCAATCATGACACATGGAGAAAAGGGTGACATTGTCAATGATTTAATTTTACTTGGATATGCAATCAACATTCCTCAGACCTCCCACCACCTTATTATTTTGCTCCAAGAAGAAGACAAAGTCCATTCATAAACATTTTATTAGTATTAATGTGCAGGGAGGGAGGGGGGAAAGATTCTGCAAGATGTCTAGGATCGGACACTAAATCAAATGCAATCTCTTTCATTTAAAATTAAGAGTATTCTAATTTTTATTGTCTCACTGTTGTTAGATGTCACGATCTAATTCTAATTCATAACTACCTCAACTGAAAGAAGAACTGTCTGGTCTTGCACCATCCTTATCATTGCTATGTTTGGATCCGTCATTACAGCCACTGCCAATTCATCTTGTTGAGGATCTTCTTTCTTACTGACCCTCCACCAAATATGATGTCCATAGCCAGGGACTAGTCTCTCCTAATAATGCATCCAAAGAGACTGTGCAACAAAGTCTCTCATCTTCTCCTCTAAAGACCGATAAAAGGCATGAATAAGAGCGTGATTAGAGAGGAATATGGACTGTTGCATGGATTGCCAAAAGAACAAACAAGTCTGTCTTGGAGGAATTGCAACCAGGGTGTTCCTTAGAGGCAAGGATGGTGAAACTTTGTCTCACATACTTTGGCCATGTTGTCAAGAGGGGCTAGTATTTAGAAAAGGACACCGTCCTGAAAAGGGCCAGAGAAAGAGACCCTTAACAAGATGGATTGATACAACAATATGGACTCAAGCATTAGGCATCGTGAGGATAATGCAGACTAGAGTAAGGTTCAAATCTGTAGTTGATAGGGTCACTATGAGTTGTCTTGATAGCACCTAACAACAATGGTAAGAGAAGGAAAGTAGAAGTTCTAGAATGGGAAAAGAAATTCACATATCCAACAAAATTTCATATCTAGCATATAAAGAACTCCTAAAATTCATTAATAAAAAGACAAGCAACTGAACTTTTTAAGGGGAAAAAATTGAAAAGTACTTCATAAGAGAGTATATCCAAATAACCAAGAAGCATATAAAAGTGTGCTCAACCATAGTCACTGCATAAATACCACTTAAATTCGCAATAAGACACTGCTACACACCCACCAGAATGGTCAAGGTTAAAAGAGATTGGCAAGAAGGCTGGGCATGTCAAACATTCACTCATGTACTATATGTATTCATTTTCTTTAGCTGTATTTAAAAATCACCATAAATTATGCAGACCAATATCAAATAAAAATAATTTTTAAAAATATGTTGGATTACATATCAGCATGAAGGAAATAAAAAAAGAAATCACCACAAATATAGTAGCTTTAAAACCAAAACACACTTACTGTGCCACAGTTTGAGGGTCAGGAGTCCAAGCAGGACTTACCCTGTATCCTGTCCCCAGGGTCTTGCAAAGCTGCTATTGAGAACTGTTTATCTAAAGATGTGAGCAGAGATGAACTTGTTTCAAAGGTTACCTGTTGTCCTCCAATTGAAGTGAAGGCTTCAATGTCTACTGGCTGTTGACCAAACACCTCACACAGTTCCTGAGGCAGCCTATGGTTCCTAGCCATAGCTCTCTCCATGGCCATTTGCTTCTTCCAGGCCAGCAGATAAGTGAAAGCCTAAGATGTGATTTTATCAACACAGATCTCTTAATGTCTTTGAGTTAGAAGTGACTCATAGCTGACACTCCACTGGGTTTTCCAAGGCTCTAAATCACATAGAAGGAAGATTTCCCAGGTTCCTCTCATGGTATTTGACTGTGTAGATCACAATAAACTGTGGCTGACTCTAAGAAAAATGGGAGTCCCAGAACACTTGATTGTGTTTACGCAAAG